TTTTTGTATAGATACTGTTGTGATTAGTTAACCTTACTTAAAACAGATTCTACAAAGAATTGTGATTCTGAATAATCTTTTTGCCCCTCTTTAAACAGACCATTATTGGTGATTGCTTTTATATTTTTAGTATCCCTTTTTCTATCCCTCTCATATTTTTAATGAAGGTACTGTTTTCCTACTTACTTTCCTACTTTCTTTACTCTTCTCATTATTCAGAATATTCAGATTTGTATTTGGTGTGCACTAGCAGAACATGTAAGAGCTTTTAGTGTATAATATATAAAAGAATACATTGTGATAACAAAGGAGATCATTCAAAGGTTAATTATTGTAAAAGTACTCTTACTTTGAGTGCCCTGTATTATACATTTGTGATTATATTTTCAGTTTCCTTAGTACTATAAGTACATACCTGGGTTAGAGTGCAAACGATAGGATTCCACAGACCTGGATGTATGCATCTGTGCTGGTCATTTCTGATCTCGCTATGTGCTCATAAAAACATCATGTTTAAGGCAAGCTTGATAAGAGTAAGTTTTGAAGTTGGATATAGGTTGGCCTGATGGTATTGTATACATAGTACATTGAGAGAAACTGAATTCTTCTCAAGCTTTGTAGGTAGGTTTCCAGGAAATTAAATTAAAATCCTCATTCTAATTTCCACAGCATAGACCCAGCTATCTGAGGTACCTATGTAAAGAACTTAGTTTTCCTATGTACTCAATAAAAGAACCTTTCAAATGCAAGTTATACCACTTAAGATGTGTCTACTGATTATTTAGGGAGACTAAGGTGATAATATTTTGGAGTAAGTTTTAAGTAAGCTTTAAATAAGTACCTAAGGATAGATAAGGGTGAGTTTGTGCTTGCCTAATGTGCAACCTCTTTCAACCCAAGAGTTGTTTCCTCTTCTTAAATACAGATTTCTAATCATATTCCCTTTGTCATCTGCACCAAGGTCTCCTTCCTTCTAGGTACTTATCCAGTCTGTGTGTTCATTCCTGTTGCTTTGGTTTTCATATAATTCCACAAAATATATTCCTGATAGTACTTTTTCTTTTAAATCCAGTTTCCCTTCCAACTCAAAACTTATTTCTGTTGCCTGGAGGTGAAAATACTTAATTGGAGCAACTGCAAACAAACATACCACCATCCTTCGGACACTTCTGTGATACACCTGAGAATTCTAATAGGGTGATATATCTGACTCATGGTTTTATTCAGGTTCTTCCCAGTATTAACACATTTTTTTCCCAGTCCATGCATTTGACTCTTATTTTTATGGGACATAAACCACAACAAGAAAGGTCCAGATGTGATATTATGGGAAACGTTTTAATTATTAGGGTGGTAAAGCAGTGGAAGAGGTCATCCAGAGATGTTGTTCAGTCTGTGTACTTGAGATTTTTCAAAACTAGATAAAGCCCTGAGGAGCCTGGTCTGGTTTTAAAGCTCATCATGTTTCCAACAAGTGATTAGACTGAAGACCTCCCTAGCTGCTTTCTAGCATTGATTGTTCTATGGTCCTATTAAAAAAATTAATTTCCCTTTTCATTTTCATAACAACCAGAAAGAGACTGATTTGAGAGTACTATGTAAACATTTTCTCAAGCTTTAGCTGATTCAAAGCAGCATAGACTGGTCAATACTGTAGGGAACTTCATTGGGATTTGTGAGAATGAAATACTTGCACCATTCAAGTTCTAATATCAAACTTGTAATCATACTTAAATAGCAATAAGTTTACTATTTTACAATATGTAATTCTTTCCTAAATTCGGACAGATGTGCTGCCATCAAATTCACAGTCCATTAGCAAAATTTGGGGTGTTGAAGCAGTTCAAAGGTGAGGTTAACCTGAGTATTTTGACATGAATCAAATGTATTTTCATCCGTGTCTTGAATGTGAATGATTAATCTAGGTTAAAATTTTGAAAAAATATTCAGGCTGAAAGAGCCACCAGTCCAAAAAGTTTCAGCCAAGCTCCTTATTTAAAAAAAAAAAAAAAAAAAAAGTACAATGAATTGAAAACTATGCTGTCATGGAAACTTTAGGAGTAAATTATGCTACCATCATACCTGCTAAACCTGAGAAAAGACATGGGATAAACTGTAAAGAGTTAGAGATGTTACATGAACGTTTGATGAAGATCATTGTCTGTTACAGTACTTCAGAACACAGAGAGTTAAGATTTGATTTCTTTTGATTCTGTACTCTTAGTTTAAGCATTTAACTTTTGGTAATGATAACCCAATATTTTTTAACTACTTTGGTGAAATACACAAAGCAGAAACACATATAGGCACACTGAAGGAAAAAAAAAGTGAAATAAAGAATAGATTCTGTATTTCCGATTTAAACTATATTGACAAATTTTATAATTAGTTAATTAGAAAAAGACAGCTAACACTGTAGACTAGAGTTAGAAAAATATTTAAATTACTTGATCTTGCAGTCACTACTTCTCAGAATCATTTCAGCTGAATGGAGATACGTGTTTATACCTCTAAAGGCGCTTTGAAAATGAATAGCAGAGTTAATGTTTTCAATCCCCCATATTCACAAAGCAATCATATAAACATTTTTCAGCTTTATAGTATGCACTCACTATATGCAAGTTTATATGAAGTACTACGTACTGAATTACCAGTTAAAGTGTATTTCATATAAATGTTTTATTGCTTAGCAAATTATGGCAGGCAACTACCCAAAAACAAATTAAAAGATACAAAACTATAGCTAAAAGAATGATATCTGGAAGGCACAAATGTGTGTTTATTATCTGTATTGCTTGTCAGAACATTTGCATATGTGCAGAGTGAAAATGAGGAAGAATAGCAGGAATGATAAAGATACTATGATCAAAACATTCATCAGAGAAATTAATTTTTCGCTAAATTAAACAAGAATCTTTTTTGATATACACAATAGCTGGGGCACACAAAGGATTATGAAAGTTTAAAATTAAGTTATGAGAATGAGAGGGTGAAATGTTATTTTATATAACAGAAGCTATAAAGAGCAGTAGCTCGTATTTTCTTTTCATTGTAGCTACCAGAATACTGCCAGAAGCCTTTTTAGGCCTTTGCATACACTGCTGGTCTGAAACCCAGATGAGGTTTGGCTTTCCTTACTTGACCCTAACACAACTGAGCAATGTCTTTCTACCCCTGCTGGGTCATCCATCCTTGTGTCCATCTTCTGTGGGAGACCTCATTGCAGCCTTCATCTTCCTTGTGAGGGGATGAGGTGGGGCAGGCACTGATCTCTCTGTGGTGACCAGTGACAGAGCTTGAGGGAATGGCCTGAAGCTGTGTCAGAGGAGGTTCAGGTTGGCTGTCAGGGACAGGTTCTTCACCCAGAGGGTGACTGGGCACTGGAACAGGCTCCCCAGGGAAGTGGTCACAGCACCAGCCTGGCAGAGTTCAGAAAATATTTGGACAACGCTCTCAGGCACATGGTGTGACTCTTGTGGATGACCAAGGGCCAGGAGTGATCCCTGTGGATCCCTTCCAACTCAGCATATTCTAGGATTTGGAGTTACTAACTTCCTTTACATCCATGATGATCTTCTGTCGTGATTGTTCTTTGACTTGCTTGTCATGCTTGTTTCCTCTGCATCAGCAAGAACTGGTTTTGTGCCTGGAGAATTTTTTTTCTTGAGAACTGAGCAGCTCTCTTGGCCCCTCTTTGCTCTCCAAAACAGTTGCCAACTGCTTTCTGCTAAAAAGATCCCTCACTAAGCTGAAATATACTCTCCTGCATTCTGAGGTTGTGATTCTACTACTGCCCTTTAAATTCTTCTCTCAGGATTTTAAACCGCAGTCTCATGGTCAGTGCTTCTTTATAGAAGTTAAAGTGATGGTTGGGTGTACTATCATCTTGTAGTGCTTCACAGTCCCTATCAAGGCTGATAAATAGGAAGGAGAGGTTTGCTTCAGTGAAAGAAAATGAAAAACAAAAGAAAGCACTTCATCATTGCACATCTTTCAAGACTAGAAAATAAGTCAAATCCCAGCAGAAACAACTTGACTTTCTCTCGCAGACTGTGTTACAATTAAATAGTCCAGACCTTCTGAATGATTAATACATTTCTGCTATGAAACTTAATTCTTTATTGTCAAGTGAAAGAGTAGAGAATTAATAATTTGTTCTCTAGCATGCCTTGCAAAAAATACACTGTGAAAAATAACTAAAATATAACAAAAATGCCAAAAAAATACCAGGGGGGTTATATACAGTTTAAGAGACAGACTGCAATATCTCTGAAGAATTTTAATTTCGGTGGCCTTTGTTCCAAATGTATTTTATCAATTGATTTGTGAACTTACTAGGGTTGTTAACAATAAAAGGCAGTTGGACCTAATGAACTAGAAGCTCTCCTTCTGTCTGGAAGGTTTGCAGTTATTTTTTAAATTTCATGCTTTTTAAATACATATACATTTAAATATGTTGAGGTAGCACAAATATGCAAATCCATAAATTCGTAAATAAGAGATTCTGGTCAGATCAGACTGAATTTCCTATAATTGTCTTGAGTTTTGGTGTGTGATATTTATTGTAAGTATTTAGTAACATATTTTGGGAGTTTGTTTCTCTTAAATTTTTAATTACAGATGGAGCCTAGTTAAAGGCAGAGCTTTAGCCTAGTTAAAGGCAGAGCTCAAGTTTTGTCTCTAAATTTTGTGGAAAAGTGGCTTTTTACATAATTATGCACCTCATTAGTTTTTAAATTATAATTGAATGAAGACAATTACTATAATAAGAAAATATGTAGGGTTTTTTAGTGGTTTAATGTGAATGAAGTTTAAGTATGTTTTGTACTTGAATGTGCCTATTGTTTGTGTTTTGGTCAGATCATGATCAGTAATTAAATATGCAGGAAAGGATAGTTCATAGATAAATTGAAGAGTATTTGCTAGTGTATGGCATTTTTGTACTAAAGAAAAGTTTGTTTATCCTTCTTCAAGTGTGCATTTGTATTCTCATCACTCAGGTCATTTCACAGCTTCGGATCCTGAGTAGGTCAGTAACTGCTGGCTGCAAATTTGACAGAGAAATATGGTCTACAGAACTTTCTCCTGTTCTCAACCTATGGAAGAAACTTAATCAGGTAGGACTGTACTTAATTTGAAAAGACAACTTTTATTTTTCTGGTAAATACATAAAAAATATAGTGTAAGGTATTATCTCAAGCAGTGAAAGATAAGAAGAGAAAAACTAAATTAAATGCATTTGAGGTAGGAAGTACAATGTTGGGTGCATAATTAGCTACGAAGTCTGTATGTGATACAACAGGCTATCACCTCTTTTCTACATATGGGGGTCAGACCACACTCAAAACATAAGACTAGCATCCTCTCTGTGTTTCCAAGAAAAATGCTAATGTACTTTAGATTTTTATTTAGTCTCTTAATTTATCTAATATTCACAAGGAAATGTTTAATGATTTCAAATACAATGAAGTTTTTCCTTTATAGTGTTAAAATATGGTGTTAGCTTTAAACTGAAGTTCATAAAAATCCCCTCTGCATTATCCAATATCACTCCCTTTATGTTCCTTTGTTGGTCTAGCTTGGTTCAGTTTGGTGGTGTTTTTTAACTTATGTTGTAAAGCTTGGTTTCCAACCCTTGAATTCTTATTCCAGGCATACATTTAGATGGCATGGGGGTGAATGCAGACACTCTGCACACTTGGGAAGGATCTCTCCCACTTCATGCTAGGTGCCCACTTGGACATTATTTTGTCTCCTCAGTGATCAAGTAATAGATCGGTGACATTGTGGCCTGAAACTATGTCTTGTACACAGCAGCACTGCAATGGGAAAAACCTTTCCCTTACTCAAACAACCACATACATAGAAGTGACATAGGTACCCATTAGAATTTACCGTAACATTTTGAAGTATCTCATTGAATTCTCATCTAATCCATGCTAAGTGGGTAGGTCTAGGTTAGATATTAGGAAATTCTTTCCTGACATGGTGGTGAGGCTCTGGCACAGGTTTCCAGAGATCTAGTGGATATTCCATCCCAGAAATATTCAAAACAAGGTTAAATGAAGCTTTAAACAGCCTGGTCTATGGAAGATATCCCTGCCTGTTCAGGAGGGTTGGAACCAGATTATGTTTAAGGTCCCTTTCAACCCAAAAAATTTGAGGATTCCACATTGTTTTGAAGTTTCTTTGGTTTTCTAAAGATTTTATGCCAATATCAGATAATTAAATTAATATTCTGAATATATCCTTTAGAATAGGATGGCTTTTATCCTTTTATATCCTATAAAAAGATAAAACCTTTTTTAGGTTTTCTTTTTTTGTGTGGGGGACATTTTCGTGAATGGTTCAAAACAATTTAAATGATAATATTTTTTATCAAAATTAGTTTTCATGATCTGTTCAACCAGTAATTACTTTCAGCTTTGAAAAGGCCTAGACATCTGTAATATTTCACAGACATTGCATGCAGATCTACATTCTCATTCTAGATTGGTAGTTCAATGAAGGCATCATCTTTCTTTGCAGAATTTTTAAAGACCTGGAAATTGGAATGAAGAAGATAGTTGAATTGCTGCTTAAGTTAACAATCATAAATTATTTTATTTATGCATGAATGGGCAGAGAATATGAAACTAAAACAGTTTCCCAGATATGAAGAAGTAAAATTTTAAAAAAGTATTCCTGAAGTCTGTAAAAAAAAAATTATTCCAGAGGCAAAAAGACCCTTAGAAGTTTATTAATATATAGACAAAGATTAAGTTGCTTTGAACATTTTTATTCCCATGTTGAGTGAGTAAGTCAAGGATTAATTAAAAAAGGATTAACTTACAAATAACTTGAAAACAATTGTTGTACATCTATGTACTTAGAATTCTGAAATTCAACAAAATTTACCACTTGACATAGGTATGTCCTGTAGAATTTACACCTCAATGATTGATCATGGTCTCCCAGTTTGGTCATATTATTCTCTTTGCACTCTTAATGAAACTCCAAAGCCAGCTAAACCTGATCCACACAGAAGCACCAGGAGGAACTGGTAAGGAGAAGCAGTGAGCAATTCCCTGCAGCTGGGAGAAGGATGCTTCCATTTTCTGACCTCATCTGTTGTTTAGGAAGTTCTTCTGCCTTCCAGGGGCTCTGCTGTGGGATGCTGTGGAAAGCCTGCCGAGGCTGGTCTGGCCCTCAGACTGTGACCCCTTCAGCTCCATATGATCCACACTACCCCTGGCAGTTGACTGGGGTCTGTGTGGAAAAGCTCCAAGGGTTCATATTCTTGGATGGAGACTGAATACAGGTCTGAGCAACCTGCTGTAGCTTTGAGAACCTGGCAGTCTCCAGAGGTTCCTTCCAACCTCAGCTGTTTTGTGGTTCTCTGAATAGGAATTATTTTTGTTCAGTTTTCAGAGACTATCACATTCTTTGTGGCCAAACAGCAAAAAAGGCGGATATGCTTTGGAAATTTTAGCTGTTTTCAGTTTAGACATTTCAAAATGGGAAATAATTCTTATACATTAATACGGTAGCAAGGTCTTTTTTATTGTTACTTTTTCAGAAATATTTCTGGTAATTTGCAGGGCTTCATTTTTTTTCTCAGACCATACATGATGCAAAACCCTGTTAATTGTTGCTACCAATTATTCAGATATCCTGAAATTGTTGAACTGGAAGGTTTATTATTTATCTCTCTACAAGAATAGAATCATGGCAGTTGCCTCTCCTTCATCCACTGATTATTAATCTAGCCAGAATTCAGACTCTAAATTTTTACTTGAATTTTACTTTACATGAAAGAGATACTTAAAATTTGTTTCAAATCATTGTGCATCTGTGTTGAAATTACACAAGCAAAGCTGTTCTGAACTAATACAGAATGTCGTGATATTTTCACCTATATTAGCCTCATTTGAAAACACACATGTTAATTCTTGCAATTGAAAACATCCTTGTAATGAATACTGTCCTAAAACTGCTTTTACAGTGTTTTGCAGCATGATTTAATAACAGCTTGACACTTATCAAATTAATTAAACTCTCTTGAACCTGCCATTTAATTAGAAAAAAACACATACTCACATGCTCAGTATTAGTTTACATGAAGGACTTGTTGATCTATAAAATGGAGTCTTCACTGAGTAAGTTGTCAAATGTTACACAAATTTTAAAAACCCATCCTTAATGTGGAAGGGTGGCGCAGTACAGGTTGTTGGCAAGGGCTGAGCCCTTGAGTTAATCAGAGTAAATTCAACCAGTGTCTGTTCTGGTGTCCATTCTCTTCCCACACAGCTTTCTGCCCTGACAGCCTGTGGCTCAGGACTTCTGCAAGCATTCCTTGTCACGTAAATGGATCAGCTGGGTGTCACTCACTGTCCTGTGGAATTCGGGAATTGCCCATCATGCAATAGTTGTTAGATGCAAAAGTATGAGAACACGGGGAGTGCATAAGTGTTTCGTTGCATCCAAATGGCTCTGTCTCATGAGGAGAGTGAGAGAGAGGAATCAGTGCTATGTTTTTGTTGTGAAGTTGTTGCATATTGTGCCTTGTTTCAGAAAAACCCTACATCAGCTCTATGAAAGTTGGAATGCACACCCATAAAAATTTCAGCAGCAACTCCTTCAAAGTTGTTAACTGAATGTATGATTATAAATTATATGTTCTGTATCTTTTGTCGTGTTTGTAAAATGTAACTAATTATTTTTATAAAGTTGCATAATGTTGCAAGAAAACTGTAGAAGTAGTTTTGTAAATTAATGACTTGTTGCTCTTTTATCTAAACCATTATAGAATAATAGAATCATAGAATATCCTGAATTCGTATGGAACCACAAGGGTCATTGAAGTCCAACTGCTGGCACTGTACAGAACAGCCCCAAGAGTCACACCATGTGCTTGGTACCTCATTAGCTACGTCAGCTTTAAAAAAACAACAGGGTCTTTTCCATGAAGGAAAATCAGTGACACAGAAATATAGGGTCATTCTTTCTTTTATTGTCATTAATGAAAAGCATGTGAAAACCAGTGAGAGGCTAATATCTAAAAAAATAGGCAGAGAGCCTCAAAGAAGGTGGCAAAATAGGTACATCAAAAGGGCAATGGAGATTTCTAAAACCCATCACCACCACCAAAACTGCATTTTGAATCAAATGCAGAACTAGTAAAGGTATGAGTTTATTTCCATTGTATTTGTTACATTTCTGAGGAGGCAGTTTCAAAACAAACTGGAGTTTGCAAAAGCTTGAGTTTAAGAAGGTAACAAAGTAAAGCTCTGGAACAGTTTAGGTGAGACTTTATTAAGTCTTATATTATACTAAGATAGCAACATATACAAAACTGAAAGAGGAAAGATGATAGAAGTCTGAAAATAGAACTGATTAATATTGGTAACAAAATACAGTATTTAATATTAAAGATTAGAATCTACCTTCAGTTTCTTATGACTAGGAAAAGCACTCAGTACTTCAGCAGTTTTTCATCTTAATTCCCAAGCAGGTCATGAGCATACACCTATTTTAAAAGCTGATGGGAGTTATATACATAATGGATTTTAAGAGAATGTAATAGGACATTAAATGTATAAACTGATATTGGTACTCATGTTTAATTTTCCTATGGAAATGATAGATGGGTTGTTTCAACGGATTCTCAGGGGAGAGCATTAGAAAGAGTGATGAAATAAATCTGAAATTCATAGGAGACTCTTATGTAAAGGACAATATTGAGGAACTTAGAGGACTTCTCTTTCAATAAGCTTTTGTGAATTATGAGAGCATCAAATATTGAGCAAAGCCTCCAGTGTGCAGTGTCTTGGGTTTTTCTTTATTTTGTGCAATTAAACATGTCAGTAAGAAATTATCAGCTAGTTTATGCTAGTTTTGTATTACAATTTACATATACTCAGCAAATTATGGTCTCAGAAAAACTGATGTGAAACTGGTACTGTTGTTTCTGAATGCATGCAAAGAAAAAATGCAAAGCATTACAGTTGTAAATACTTCATTCTTTGGTACTTTGATCAGTAATTTTGTTGTATACCTTTTTAATAATGTTGGAAGACTTTATCCTTAATTTTTCTGTTGGTCAGTCATAAACCAAAGTTTTGCTCATTCATTTAGCTTTTCTTGTGTTTTAGCTTGGTAGCTGAGTGGCATATGAGCTTGAAATTAAAAATGTAAAAATTCTGACAAATACATAGTGCCTGGAAAAGATTATAGAGGTAAATGTGCTGTGTCTTCTGGAAAGCAAGATGCCATGTGACAATTCAGAAATTTATTTAAACCTAAAAAATAATCAAAACTTATTATTTTAAAAAACATATTTCAAAGAAAGTAAAATCTGATTTTGTCTTTACTAAATTACTAGAAATTGAAATATCAAAACATTTTTTCCCATAGGCTAGGGTTTACTTTTTACATATGTGCCTTACAGAATTTTCCAATAAGTTTTTAATTCTGTCACTGGAATTCATTGCAGCATCTTGCCACATTACAGGTTGGCAGTTTCCAAACACATGCAAAAATAGATTTACCTAATAAGTTGCATATGAAGATTCGCAAAATTGCACCATCTCTTGGAATTATTGAATAAATTTTCAGGCTTTAATGGAAGGGAAGTAAGTAGTAAAAAATGGCAGCAGTACTTCTCAGAGTCTAATTTACTCAAGATTTACACATAAAATGATATTTATTTTGTATTTAATTCAATTCTATGTTGAACTAGTCTCAGGAAGCAAGAACTGGCAGCATAGTTTACGCTACCCAGTAAAATCTTGCTGTGCTGAGTACATCACTGCTTTTTATGTTAACACATTAACAGAAATACTAAAAGAAGTGATTCAGCTAAGTGAAGATTTTTCAGCAGTTCGAGTACTTTTGAAGTAACTGGGTAGACAGACTTGTTTCAGAAGAGTGGTGCCTTCATTGAACACGTCACAGACAGCACTGGGAGTATCACTGTAAGTTTAATTCAGTGTCAGAAAAGGGATGATATCGCTACTACTTCAAAGCTAACAAGGTCATATGAAATATCATTAATTAAGCAAATAAGGTGTTGTGCAACACCATAGTTTCCCTGAGTTTATTAACTGGATATCCCACGCTCTTTCTCAGAATTCCAACCTGATCCATCAGAAGGTGTCTTCTCCTGCAGAACAAAAAGGATCTCCAATCTTAGCGTTCATTAGCCTGGAACACTTCAATGCCATCCGCCTTGTGCAGAGCGTCCATCAGTCACTTGCTTCTTTAAGTAAAGTCATCAGAGGCACCTCACTACTGAGTTCTGAAGTACAAAGTCTAGCAATTGCTCTGTTAAACCAAAAAGTAAGTAATTTTGTAATGAATATATATTACAATAAGCATTGAAAAAACCCAAGGAAACTGAACTAAAACTCATTTTCATGTTCTAAATTTTTTTATTGATAAAGACGCTAAAATGCAGTTCTTTTAAAGATAGAAACTCTAAAACAAAACCATTTTTTCTGTAAAATTTTTAGAAGTATTTGCAGAATCTTCTGAATGTATTACTCGCTTATCAAGCTTTCTCTTAAAGACAAATTCTGTAAGTTTAGAAGTTGTGGAATACTATTTCAATTTCAAATACCAAATCATGCTAGATAAGTCAAATACATTAGCCAGTAGAATATGTCAATCTGTCCCCTTACTTAGTTTCTACATTTTCTTAAAATTTAAATTGTAATAACAGTTCTCCTTGCATTTATTCAGTATGGAGTACTACCATACCTCAGCAGAAAAGCTGTGCCTAGCATACCAACCTATTATCTCACCCTATATTCTTGATATACAAGAAATCAGTCAGAATTATATGTTCATTAAATTACATTATACTTTCTCCATCTTTTTTGGCATCACACTGGGCATGTTTATAAACTGGTACAATTAATGACAGGAAATTTACATGCTCTATCATTAATATCTAGATAATTGAGTTAAAAGAGAGTCAAACATTGTTGTGACATGAAACTCTGGTTTTGTTTCGCCTCCAGCAATAGATAAATTCTGTCAATGCTAATGCATAGATATTGAGATTGCTTCTGCAATGAACAATAATTCCTATTAACATCCTGTTTATCTTCATGTGACAAACAAGTGCTGTTAAAAAGATTGTTATGCATTTATTGATAAATCAAATTCTAATCAAAACAATAATTAAATTTGTTGTCTTTTCAGATTCACATGACAACATTTGTTAGCAAAATTTCTGTACAGTTAGAACAAATTAAGTTTTTGTGTTAACAATCTCATTGCCTTTTAAAACATGTTTTGACTAGGTGGTAGAAACTAGCACTAAGTCCAAGTCATAGTGAATGGAAGGTACACATGTAATGGCCGTTCTTTAGTCCTTACAGCTGTATTTCTTGTTACTGAGCAAGAGAGCATGGCTTGCTTTTGTGCTTAAACTGCACACTTGTATTGGAACTGGCAGGAGCTGTGAAGCTGATCACTGCCTCAAATTTTTTTTTTAAATTCTGTTCATTTTAACCTCTCACAAGCATTGGTTCAGTGCTTCCTGATTTATTGACCAGTGATTCTGTCATTTCATCTGCTTACTTACCCACTTTCCTTGACATGGATCACTTCATTGGATTGTGACCATATATTTTTTCAGCAGTCTTCCAGAGAGGCTAATGCCACGTTCTTGGCATGGCAGCTAAACCTCACTCAATTTATCACCTTAAAATGATTTTCTTCATGTGTTTTCTATACACTCTTCTCGTTTAGTGTTATCATGGTTTTTGTAGCAAAAGATTATTTTTCAAAAGCTGTATTTTAAACCCACTAGGATTGTAGCTCTTTTAAGATTATAGCACCCGAAGAAACTGCTGGATTACTAATAGAAATGTAAAATTCAATAAACGTATGACTTATAAAGGCTTCAGCAATGTGCTGCATTTGTGTTGTATTTGCTATGTTAGCCCCATACTAGCCACTGGGAAGAAAATTAACTCCACCTCAGCCAAAAAGAGAATAAGCACCTCTGAGATACACTTGCATAATAATAATTAGCTCAGCAATTTCTTTAGACTTAAAGTAATTTAGAGTGATATAGTAACAACATTAGGCAAATGCCTTGTAAGTGATAGATTGATGAGCTCCCTGTAAATGCATATTTAGTAGAAGAGGCTGCAAAAAGGCAAGGTCTCAAATAAAAAATCATTTTAAAAAATCCTAATTAGGAAAAACCCCATGCAATTAACTGTCCTTTACTAATTGTTTTGTATGTATTCTAGTTTATTGAATTAATTTTTAATTAGTATCCTTGAATCTAGTTATGTTTTGGTTTTTATCTATGAAAGGTAAACACAGAGTATTCACTTTGAAAGATACCTTTTTTTGCAAACTTCTGGGATCAGATTTTCAATATCAATTCAGTACATACACTATTAGAATGGAAACTTCCTGTAAAATGCAGCTGTAAATATTAAATAGTATAAACTGTTGATTCTGCTTAGCATCTTCAGTAGTGTACAATATTCCACAGATACTGATTTATATTAATTTTATTTCTCATTAGTAGGAGAATCTTGCAGTCACTTCCAGTGTGCTTTAGGTTCCTGTGGCGTAGGTAAAATTAGTGTTTCTATCCTTATTTTATAAGGAGGAAGTTTAACAGATGCCCTTTTAAGTCTTTCTTTTTGAAGTCAATGAGAAATTTATACGGGGAAGTCTTGCAGGCATTTTTTTCTCAGGTGTTGCTCTACAAGAGCTGTAAGGTGATGAGAAAATAATCATGCAGAGGAATTGTACCAGATTATCTTAATCACAGAACCACAAAACTATGTTTTGAAGTCTGAATGGGCTGCAGCAAAGGAGTGGGAAACTGCCTGCAGCTGAAAGATGACATTGTGATTTCTCAAGACATAATGCTCTTAAGGCTTATTGGAAATATTTATGGAACCAACTGATGTTTCCTCTTTGAATAGCAGAAGTTCTTGCGAGTTCTCCATCAACACTGTGGCTCCATCAACACAAAGAATTAGCAGGAATACAACCTTTCTGTTTGTGCTTGTATGTTCTTGGTCATTATATTGCTGGTGTTGCCTTTTTTTTTTTTTGTAGATATATTTGATCTCCAGGTTATTTATTTTTATTCAAGTTGCCAACTTAAAATGAAATGACAATGGATTTGATACTTTCAGTATATATCTTTTTATTTCAGTGTCCTGTTGCCTGGCAAAGTAAGTGGGAAGGTCCAGAAGATCCTTTGCAATATCTTAGAAGTCTTGTAGCTCGAGCACTTGCCATACAGGTAATTTTAAAGAGTCTTTTTTTACTCAGTGTGCTGGTATTCAGTGACACAGTATATTATGTAAATTCCACTACAGTAGACCTTTACAAACACAGGTCCAAAAGAATTTTAGATGTGTGAAAAGGTATATAAAAATCTAAAGATCAAGGAATAATGTGATATTATTGTTGGTTACTTCACAAAAGGTTTATATCTTTGTCATTAGCCTTTATGGAGAGCTGTGGGGGAAAAAGACTTTTTTTACCCAGATGAAACTTTACATTTAAGTCAAGACACACTCTTTAATCTGGTAGAGAGATGCCTATCAAGACATAAGTGAAGCATTTCTAATAAAGGTGAAGTAGAAATTCATAGCTATCTAGTTTTGGAAGAAAGTAATGAAAAGATCTGCATTCTCAGGGTTTTCAAGGGCACATAAGAGAAGGTGTCTATCCACAGTGTGACAGTAAAGCGGTTAATTTTTAGTTAAGGTGAATCTATATATATTTTGATTGACAGAAGTGGTGTATTTAAAGTAATACAAAGACAAAATAATTTATCTAAATTAATTAGTATTTAAGGAAACAGATTCCTTATCTGTGTTGGATACATAGAGAGAAAACTGTGAGAACCTGAAAGAGAGGAAGACTACTTTAGAAAGGACAGATCTTTGTTGCCTCCAGCAATAAATACAAAGCTGTTGGTTTTGATCTTGATTAACACATCTTGTCCAATTGGATACCAAGTTTTTTGTCAACATTTATGTTAACTGTCAGATTCAGAAGAAAGATTTGAGGGCTATGTGTCTTCTAGGCTTTACTTTTTCTAAAGAAACTGTCAAATAAATGTCTCTGAAGTGTTAATAAGATTCTTTTTATGCAAACCATTTCTGTTGACAAATACTTATTTTTTCTTCATCCTTTACTTCCAAAAAAGTTTAAAGTACAAAACAGAAAAAAAATATAAATACATATAGCAACAAGTGACAGTGCATGTTCAGAAGTTATTTGGTCATATAACTGGGGTTGAACTTAGTCCCATCTCTCTTTTTGCTGACTATTACAGCCTTTAGTATTAAAAAAAAACATTATTTGTGGTGAGTCACTGTGTTTGTAAGCTTCAAGAGTACATTACTGTTTGCAACTTCTACTTTCATTTGGTTGTGACCAAACTGAGTGCAGTTTTCCTTACTTATATGATTTATTTTTAATGGAAGTCTGAGATTAGAGTTTGAGCTTCTGTGTGGAGTGCACTTCCCATACAAAGTCACAATGCAGAGGTAACAGGATGAAATTTTATGTTAATAGTAACAGATTATTTTCAACCACACATATCCCAAAAGTTTTTATTTCCATTTATTACTCCAGTCAGCTATTGACTAATGTGTTTCATTATATTTGCTGCGTTACCATGATACTAATATTCATTTCTCATTTCTCAAACTACTGTCAAAATGGTACATTTGGATTAGTCATTTTTATGAGTTATTATGAAGGACTCATTTACAGTTTTTAATAGTTATTTATTATAAGAGAGAGAAAGATTATTAAGGCATAGCTTTACAGTAGATACTTGACTGTGTCCATAAGCAGTAAATCATGTTAAATTATTATTAGTGATAACACCTGCTGGTTGTCTCATTTTATTTCTTTAATGTCAAATATGTAATATAGTTGTGTTTGGAGAAATTCTTAATAATAAAGTATCAGTCTGTTTTGCATCTCAAGCTTCTAGTCAAATCACATCTAAAATACAGTTTCTATATTTCTATATTGTATATTATTATAAAAATGTTGATTATTTCTAATTATGCATTTCAGTTGAATCATCTTTTTCCTTATATGTGATTCCAAATCATGATTGTGCCCATTACACCTTCGTGATTAGTCTTGATCATTTTTTAATTAACTTTTCTTTTTTGTGACTTGTCATTATTGATTTTATAAATGTAATTAATCAGTAGTTAATTCTAGATTTAGTATTCAGAAATTCAATAAAGGCTTCAATAAAGATATCTCATAACTCTGAAAATTATCTTCTGGTTTATATTTCAATCAATGCAATATTTTAGATTAGTTTTATATGACCAACTTTATAAGCTTTTTTCTAGTTACTCTTATGTCCCTCTGTTTCATTGGTTGTAAGATATTGACTTACACTTTACTGTTTGACAAGGTTTGATTTAGGCATTGTTAAGATGAAATAGGAGACATTGAAAGATCAAAGTTGTGCTGAACTAAGGATGGAGTAAGTCTCTGCCTAGACTATTAGTTAAAAGCTGTCTTGTCAAGAGGTTTGCTGCCAGTGCAGAAAACAATAAAAGCAACTGCAGCAAGCATTTAATGGGGATGGGGAAGAACACAAAATATGGCCAGATGGTAAAATATTTATAGCAGAATTTATAGAAGTGTAAAGATGTTCTGAGAGCATTACACAACAACAGGCAGAAAAACAACAGGTGTTGCATCTTTCAGGTCTGAATTTACTCAGTAAAAAACAAAATTAAAAAAAAAAAAAAGTAAAACTGCCTATTGAAAGTGTGAAGAAATTTGTATATGCAAAATGCAGTAGAGGCATGTGTTGCTTTGTACTGTCATGGTGACAGACCTTATGTAAATAGGTAATTTATTCCCAGGTGAAAATTCTGATATTTGGATGGTAGCTTTTGCTTTAAATTGAAACAAAAGTTATATATTGAACATTCTTCTAAGGTGGAGTTCTGAATACTTTCAATTAGCAGTGCTGACATTGAACTTTATAATACTGTGCTTCAGCTTATCTGTCTACAGTGATACATTTGCTACCAACATTAAGATATGAAATCATCAGTGGTCATTGTATAAGTTTTAATTATTGGTCCTTATACTGTGAGTTTGCTCATGATGGCACCCTAAATGCTTTGTATGGTTTCCCTCTCTCCTGTGGTTCATGATCATAGCTCAGCAATAATACACATCAGCATATAATGGTATTAAATGCATCCCAGTCTCTAGATAAGTGTCTTCTCATGGCTATGGATACCAGCAGGAGAGAAGGAGAGAGGAGACTCAGAACTGCAGCTGTCAAGAGGCAAAACAGCAATCCAGGCAAATGTCAGCTGAATAGCAACCTTAAAAATTGTTTCAGGTCAACAAATTGGAAATTGATTTTTGTTTCCACTAGAACTAAATAAAGAGCTTAATTTCACCTTTTCAAAAAGGAATCCCAAACTCTTCTTATTCCAAGAAGACCTTATATTTCATTCTTTTGGACTCAGCTGGTTTTATGTAATTTACAAAACCAGTTCTTCCTTTGGATGACTGTTGGGTTAGAAAGCTGCTAGAAGTCTTGCAGTGTACATTCTGACCTCAGAATTATAAGCACCAGTTTGAGAGTTCTAATCAAGGAAATGTTTATGAATACTGAAAGTTTTCAGTTGCATAATTTATGAAAGGTTTTGTGAAAATTGTGCATTTATCTAAAAAGTATTCCTAGTATATAAAGAAGTTAAATTTTATATTTTTTCAAGAGACTTATCTTTTTCTGAGGTGCTGTGCTCTTTTCTCTCTCCATCCTGAGTAAAATCTACAGTAGTAATATTTAACTTCAATACCAGTTTGATCACCTAGTATAAGATTTTTACTATTTTAATGGGCATTTACTGTTTAAGGAAGAATGACTTTGTTCCTGTTTTGGAGCCCTACTCCTCCATTTCAACAATTAGTTCCCCAGAAAGGTGGATTGGATGCCCAAGCTATATGAGGTTTGAGCTCTCGGAAGTTGCCTGCTGAATGTACTATAAAACCTTATGGGAATAGAAAACCCAGCATTTCTCCTTCGCACTCCAGGCATCTAGGCAGAGATACTAAATTTTCATTCACTGATAACACGCAGAAAGGCTGCTCTTAGAAAACTGAGAGAGTCAAGTCCTCTCAATTTTCACCAGGTTAAAGAACTCACATAATAAATCTTGTCCAAATCCAGAATAGTCATGCTCAGTCCTGCTATTCATCCACTTGGGCACTCCATATAAGGCCTATCCCAGTCCAAGTAATCACACTTAGTTTTCAATACATTGCCTTAGCAGAGTTTGCAGCAGGGACAATAGCTTAATGGTTAGTGTTTTACAGTTTCAGGAGAGGCTGATTCAGATGGATTAGTTTGGCTGGTTCCCCACCTTGTTATTGTTCCTCTCATGACTCTCTATTTGAACAGCTGTTGCCTAGGTATCTGTGCAGTGCAGAGTACTCCAGATTTAGTATGCTAATATTGAAGCACAAAAATTTGTAAAAGTAATGTGTTTTAAATCCACCCATTCCATTATTTTAGTTCAAATTTCCACATTATTCTGAAGAATTAGCATTTTTCTGCTGTTTTTCTGGGCTTCTCCTCTTTAGCTGTCATGACTTTCAAAACAAAAATACAACTGCAACCTAACATTATCTGCTAAGGAACTGATCCTCAATTGGCTCCCTCAGTTCCCGTCATGTTGCAAAATTACTTCACTTTGTTCCAAATTTATCAGCCAGGATATGTCTTTTAAGACCTTATATTTAATTGATAACTGCTTGGTAAAAATTGGAAATTTGCAAGTACTACTAAAAAAAATGTTTTGTTTGTCTTTAATAGGCAAATTTGAAGCTCTTAGCAGCTGTTTTATCACGTCCCTTCTAATCACTGTCTCACATAGATTGCATTGATGAAGTAATGGCTGATACAGAGTCGTAGTGCTTTGTAAAGATGCACCATCCAAACAAGGGACCAAAGAGAATGTGAGATGAAAGTTTTGGACATGGGCGGGTAATAGGAGTTGTCCATTGAAATAAGATCTAATGTCCAAGGAAATTAAAGTAGAAGCTGAAGCATTTTTTGTGCTCCTACAGAAAACTGTGTTCATGCGTTGATACAGTTTCTCCTCCAGGCACTTCACCATATTTGCAGCCCTCCTTGGGACAGTCTCTAATTACAGAATATCATTCATATATTGTGATGCTCAAAACTAAACATAACTTTTTTTTTGTAATGAAATGTGTGTTTTCCTC